TTTGTCTGGGTTTAGAAGTAGGACTTATGCTCTTTGGCTATAAGAAGGGGTTGTTTTCATCACGGTACATCAGAATGCTTTACCTGGTCTGGCATTGTGCATTTTTGCATAATCAATGCCTTGATTTGTGTTGTTGGACCATTGATCTGGATGTTAGCTCATTTACATCTGATATGTGTCTTCTGCATATTGCACTGTCTGTAACACATGGAGAATAGTGACATGCATCTTGGAACCAGTCGAACATCCCTTAATATTTGCTTAGGTCATGATTTACCAAATTGTTCTGTTCAGTATTAGGCACATATGTAGGGACCATTAAAATCAGTGGGATTTAAAGCATGTGTTCAGATACCTTACAGAATTGGGAACCTTGTGCTCATGTTGTGAGAAGGCATTGCTTCAGTTCTGTTATACCTCATATGAGCCTTTCCTCTGTATATTGAGTGGTATTAGAAGTACACAGTGGCCTATGAAGAGCCGATAAACCTGAATATAACAGAATTGAGCCTGACTGTGAGACATTAGCTCTTTTGACAGCAGCTCCTTTTGGTATGCTCTTTCTTGCTATTCCTTCTGCTACACGTGTGCTGTGGGATCTTTGTAAGTTATTAGCCTACATGTCAGGATATATCTGTTTCATTAACAGTGAATAGGTCTACACTCCACTTCAGCTTTTATTCAGTGCTTCATCCCATTACCTAGAATTACTCACTTTGTGTGAAGTTGTATAGAGAGAGGAGTTCTGCGTGATCCACATTCCTTTAATGAATTGTAAGATGTCTTGTTAGTTGCTTCATATACAATAGACTGGCTCTTTCACAATTATATGCTGTACAATGATTTGCTATACAATCTTTCATAATGTATCCACAAAGTATTCCTGAACATTTTCAGGGTTTATATATCAATATTTATTGAACTCCCAATTCAGGATTCTGTTAAAGAAGTTTCTGAGATCCAAACTTGTTTTTTCTTAGAGACCAGACATACTGATTCAAACTATAATTATCCTCATTGTAAAGGACATTTCACTGCAAAATATTTAAAAGAAACCCAATATGTCTTTTTAAAATAACTGTAAACATGACTTTTAAATATGAATCAACTCAGTCTCCCTTCTACCTCCTACAGTTTTAAGGGTAAAAATAATGCTGGTTAGAAATCTCACCTGTGAGCAATCAGGTAATTAGACATTGTGTAATGTTACTAGTGCCTACAAATAATGGCAGGCACAAAAATGGTGTCCAGGTTTTAAAAATGTGGCTCATAAAAATAGCTGCTTAATACAGGCTTATCTATCTGCTGAATTGTTGTTTTAAACACCCACAGTATGCGTGGGAGTATACAAGACATGGGTTAAGATACTTAAAACCTGCCCCAAGTAGCTTACATTCTAAATATACTGCCAAAATAAATCATATTGGGAGAGCTAGAAGAAAGTACAGTGTTAGAGCATTATTTTTCCTCACTGCTTGTTTCCGTATCATGAGTGGATGACAGCACTTTTACTAATTATTTTGTTCAGGGAAAATAGAAATGGTTTAGATTAATTTATCAGTGGTGCAGTAGATAAATGTTAGCCTAGCTCAGATTGTAGCATTTTTAACTTGTATGGGTGATGGGTGACTCTGGAGTGGGATAATGAGAAGACACTCTCAGAGTAGAGGAGAAAATAAAACTTCCATGATTAAAACCTGCAATTTCTTTTCAGAGCTTGCTAATTTTTGTTTAAAATATTTATAATGCATGCATTTATAGAGAGTCTTATTACTGCATACCAAACAATAAAACCGTAACAGTTTTCTTTGCATAAATGTATTTCACAGAATCTTATTAACTATCACTTTAGCATAAATAATCTGCCAAATTTTTCTCTGACGTAGCCAATAGTTACAGCAGTGATTACACTGACCTGAATTATTTTATATACAATATTGTCTTGAAACTGTTTTTGTGAATACTTTCTGGGATTCTAAAGACATAGTCTCATATATGAACCTTCATTTTGTCATGGTAAATTCAGTCAGTCCAGTAACCAAGCAAACCTTTCCACAAGGTACTGAACTTCAGGATAATTCCCAATTTTACCCACATAAACAGCATGCAGTTCCATTCTATTCTGGAGCCTAACTTAATATCTACCTAAGACACCCGTGTTCATAGATTTTCATGGTATGGTAGTTATTCTTCCTATTTTTATGACATAATCCATCAGACAGTTTCAAAGCACGATATGTACATTAATGGATTAAGTCTCAGAGCACTTTTGTGTGATAGGTTAATAATATTACTATCTCTGTATTATAGATTCATACATTCCAAGGCCAGAAGGGACTATTGTGATAATCTAGTCTGACCTCCTATATAACTCAGGTCATAGCACTTCCCCAAAATAATTCTTTGAGCAGATCTTTCAGAAAAACATCCAAACAGTTTAAAAATTGTCAGTGATGAAGAATCTACCACAACTCTTGGTAAATTGTTCCAATGGTTAATTTCTCTCACTGTTAAAAAATGTACGCCTTATTTCCAGTCTGAATTTTAATTTATAGCTATTGGATCGTGTTCTACCATTCTCAGCTAGACTGAAGAGCCCCTTATTAAATATTTGTTCCCCATAAAGGTATTTACAGACTGTAATCAGTCACCCCATACCTTCTCTTTTGTTATGCTAAATAGACTGAGCTCCTTGAATCTACAATATGACAGGTTTTCTAATCCTTATATCATTCTCATGACTCTTCTCTGAACCGTTTCCAATTTATCCACATCCTTCTTGACTTGTGGACGCCAGACCTGGACACTCTTTCAGCAGCAGTTGCACATGCCAAATACAGACATAAAATAACCTCTCTACTCCTACTCGAGATTCCCCTGTTTATGCAGCCAAGGATTGCATTAGCCCTTTCAGCCACAACATCACACTGGAAGCTCATGTTCAGCTGATTATCCACCACAGTCCTCAAATCTTGTTAAGTTTCTTTGGTTGAATGGCTTAACCCAAGCCACTCAGTCAGTTCTGTGACACAGCTGGGAGTGGAGCCTTGATCTCCTGATTCAGAGTTAGGTGCTTTATTCACTATACCATGCTTCTGTAAAGCTAATTAGGATATTGGGTATAGTGACTAATTTTAAAATTAATACAGTCATAAAAGCACATCCTAATTTTACCTCCATATAAAATCACACATTTACAGTCCCCTTCACTTAAAGTAATTCACAAAAAGCAGAATTTGAGTGAGGATCGATGTGATACATTCTGCACTCAGTAGTGACAAAAATACAGGGAAATATATGTCACAACAGATTACACCTTTGCTGTTATCCTGAGATTAGGACCACTGTGAACAGGACTGCAAATAAAGATTATGACTAGAGATCAGATAAATTATCTTAAACATAAACCTACTATTCTCTCCTCCTTTATTGTACATAGGACTCCATTGGATATATCTACACTGGAATTACGAGGTGTGATTCCCAGCCCAAGTAAACAGACTAGTGCCAGCTCTGCTTGAGCTAGCATGCTAAAAATAGCTGTGTGAATAGCTTGCATCCGATGAAGTGAGCTGTAGCTCACGAAAGCTCATGCTCAAATAAATTGGTTAGTCTCTAAGGTGCCACAAGTACTCCTTTTCTTTGTGTGAATATTGCAGCATCACTGGGGGCTCAGGCTAACCACGAGTCCAAGCCCACCTGCCATCTTAGCCTGAGCTGCCCCCAGCGCCACAGTGTCTACACTGCTATTTTTAGCATGCTAGTTCCAGCAGAGCTGGCACAAGTCTGTCTTCCTCTGCTGGGAATCACAATTCCTAGATGCAGTGTAGACATACCTTGTAGGCCAAAGACTTCTGTTGGTCTTTTTTCCCGAAACATCATCTTAATATTTTAGGGAGCTTCTCTTTTTCTTCTCCTGGTTGCCCTTCGCTAGCCACATTCTCTAATTCTTAGAGCTTCCACTGTTAGTCCATTGGTCTGGAGTCTTTTTATCCTTTCTCAATTTTGGTCTCCTTTTTCTGTCTGCTAGGTCTTTGAAAAGAGTTCTGCATGCAGGTTTGTATCCCATTCTTTGAATGCATGTAACTTTTTATAAATCTGAAGACTATTGTATTTCCACTGGCCTCTTTTTAACCTCTTCTTCTTGATTAATCTTAAAATATTTTAGAGCCATCTTTCTAAATGGAAATGCCAAGATCCTATCCAACTTGTTTTCATTTTTAAGTATTAAAATCACATTCAGAATGATTTAAACAGTCAGCTGACATCAAAGTGTTTTTTAAAGAAAACCTAGCAGAATTTTTCGTACACACAGGTAGTATTCATAATGTTGCCAGTTTAGCTGTCCCAGTGTTGCATTAGGATTAAGCATTAATTTAGGAGCATTGTTGTCACTTGAAACGTTAAAGAGACTGAACCAAACTCAGTCGCAGTCTGTGATGTAAATGCTCTGGTGTTTTGAAGAAGCAGCAAAAGCCTTTGCAGCTGGTCCTTTCTGGAAAACAAACATAATGGCTAACAACAAAACAGGCCGTCAGCACTTAGTAAACAAGCACACATTCGGTAATGACTTGCCAAAATACCATTTAAAAATTGTTTACTGTAAAAGAAAACAGCAGTAAGTGATACATACGTCCTGTTACATTGATGGGCTGCCAGCTCAGCATCTTGGGATGATTGTCAATGTGTTGAAAGAAAGAAAGAAAGAAAGAAAGAAAGAAAGAAAGAAAGACTTTGCAGAGAATTCACTTGGTTCGGTCTTGGAGGAATAGTTTTGGAAAATGTGAAGATTTCAAAAATGGAGCCTAAAGCAAAAACATCTGTTGTTGAGAAAATATCTTTTTTCATAACACTAATATGCTTTCTATTATTGGATAGGAATAACAGTTACACAGCGCTGCTCCTATGCTCCAACTACTGTTTGTCTTTCTCAATAGATGATTTACTTTAAGAGAAGAAGAATTTAATAAAGTAACACACTATTTTTCTCTCATCTGCAGATTGCTCTCCGGGATTGTGGGGGTTTCCCATGTGCCGGTATTTAAAGGAAGAGGGCTGGTGCTGTGGTCGCAATGCCAGAATGTCAGCGTGCTTAGTATGGTTCTTTTTTCTTTTTCTTTTTTTTTTCCCTACTGGAAGTTTTATCCAGATGTTATAGAATTCATTATTTTTGGCTTGTAATCCTAGAGCTATGACTTAAATCCCAGACTCTACAGGATAACATCATTAATGTTGTATGCATGATAAATTATAGGTTAAAAAAAATTGTATTAACCTTCCAACTTTGCACATTTTATATTTGCGAAGGGCAGGAAACAATGAAGATAGACAAAAAATATTTTTAAAATGACCAAAAAGGCCACAATCTTGTTGAACTGAATTTAAGCAAAGTAATCTCTCAGGGCAATAGGTCATGGCAGTGATTTAAAAGGGATAGTATTTCTTCTACCATCACTGACTTCCCCAAAAAGGTTCATTGTTCATAACACTTAATGTCCTAACTGTACAAGACCGTAAACAGGCCTTTCTAGCCCCAAAACCAGAGTAGGCCTACACACTTATACAAGCCTTTACACCAGGAAATCATCTAACATTGCACCAAGAGACAGAGTGCTCCTGTATACTCATTTTACATCAGCACAGGATGATGGATTGATGCTTAATCTGAGGATAAAGGCATGACCCTAAATCTTCAACTACTGTGGCATTAGGAAACCGCCACCTCTAATTTCTGTTGATTTTTAATCCCTTTTCCCAGGATGCACCACAACAGATGCTGTTAGCCTCAATTTCAGCTGCTAACTCACACAGATACCTGCCAAAAACCAACTCAGGCCCATATGTCAAGGTTAAAGAGATCAGAGCTAACATTAGAGATCTTAAGACTGAAACATGTCAGGACAATTATACAGGATGGTTTCACCCCTAAATGTGACATCCTCAACAAACTGCATGAAACATCTCAAGTGGTTAAGGATATGGACCAAAATGTAAATTCTAGAACCTTCGTACGTTACCCTAAAACCCTTCAGTAAGCCCTCCCAAAATGTTTTTGCCATCTTCCGTTGTCCCAGTAATATATCCATTATACCCTAGATCAAATGGCAGATTAGCCCATTCCTTTCCTTATAGAATTTCCATTTCCCACTCTTTCTTAGGGCTTATCTACATTGAAAACACTACAGTGACACAGCTGCGCCATTTTAGTGCGTCAGGGTAGACAGTACCTATACCAATGGGAGGGATTCTACCATTGGTGTAGGTAATCAACCTCTCCGAGAGGCAGTAGCTAGGCTGACCTAGAATTGTCTACATAGGGACTTAGGTTGCCTTTACTCCGCTCAGGGGATGTGGATTTTTCACACCCCTGACTGACATAGTTAAACGTACCTAATTTTCTAGTGTAGATTAAGCCTTATTTAGTGAGAGGGGAAGTAAGCTCAGGCTGCCTTTTGACAAGGATAGAATGTTCTATTTCAGAGGCAAACAACCAGCTGGAGATGCCTTTGGCCACACAGAGCAACTGTAGAAAAATCTTCCACCCATTTCATATTTTTTCTTAATTCTTTGTCACCTTAGATCATAAAAATCAAATACTCTCACACCATCAGGATTCATGGGCTGAAAAATCTATTTTAAAGGATCTACATGACATTTTAAACTGCAGTCTCTCTAAAGTTTTTATTTTGTTTAACTTTAAGTACTGCGAGTTGAAAATGAACATTTGTGTAGTCGCTAAAGACTTAAAAAGATATTTTAATATATTGTGCATTAAATTAAAAGATTATTTAAACTATACGTTATAATATCTAAAGTGAGCTGTTATTATGCTTATACTTGTATAGGAATATAGCCGAGAAAAAATAAATTTGTTTTTTCCTTAGTGCTCTCAAAAATTGAAGAAGCTATATATAGCTATCTATATCTATGCATTCCTTTATCATTGCTTGTCCTATAAATAAACCCTAAGTAACAGAAGTGAACTGGTTAACAACCTCTAATGGTTTTAACACTCGTAAGTGTACACGCTCATGTTATATCACATAATTAATCTTGTAAAATGTCATTTCCACCAGGCTTTATACAATGTGATTATAAAATGCCCTGATAAAGAATAAACATAGCTGTTTAATTTCTTCACTTTTAAAGGCTTTGGAACGAGTTGCGGTCAGCCAAGTGGTAAGTAATGTTGTTTATTTTAACCCTTCTAATGACAAAACTGTTTTCTCTTTTTGAATACTTTTAATACATGACCTTCTCCTGAACTTGTGACTTACTGGGTTCTAAAACACTACAATTAACAGAATATAAATCAAAGTCAGATTGATATCATGTTTCAGCACACAGAATTGCATTTTTATTGCCTTGTCTGCACATAGTGATGCTAACGTATCTTATTTTCTTCAGACAATTAAGAGTAAGCTAATATATATTTTAGAGAAAGTACAATTTTAATATAGTTGAAAATACCTTATTTTAATAGTAAGCTACTTTATGCTTAATCATGCTGGTTAATATTCTTCACTAAATCCAAAAGTGCTTCTTTCAAAACTTAAAGTATAAAATTACCTTTCCAAACTTTGGATGCTTTCTTACACGAACTGCTCCAACAGAGGCTCCTAGCCCAGTGAAGCTCATCTTTAGAGGATTCACTGACCCCTTTATTCTGAAGAACCACAATGTTTTTAGGTCTAGCAACATGGTCACTAGGAGTAAGGAGTTAGTTCAGGCTCTTCCCAACTCATTAAATTTTGGTAATTTCTGCAGAGATTTCCAACACTTGTGGTGTTTTTGAGGCAAAAACTTGTCCACAAGGAAATAATATGAAACTGTAAAAATATTGTTCATAAAATACTATGGGAAACCATGGAAAAGGTTATTTTTCAAATTTTTATTAAAAATTTATTTTAATAAAGGAGGAAGAGCAGAACTTTAGGTACATCTAACTTTTAAAACAAGTTAAACAGCAGTAAACTAATTTTTTTTATTGAAACAAAAATTACAGTGTAAGATAGTCCTGTGTATTTTAAGAATGTTTTATTATCTATATAGCAAGTAAATTATAAAAGCTCCTAATACTATGTAAAAGGCCTTGAACACACAACTTTTAATTAAGTTAACAAACAGTTACTGACATACTTGGCTCTCTGGGATCATATTCCATGGTTAAAATTCAGTTAGTAACTAGAGAAATTTAACAGTGTTTTGCTCCACCAGAAGCCTAACCTGGTACTTGGTTGTGTTCCTGAATCTGGTACAGCACACTGCAGACAAAACTCCTAAACCATGTAGGCCATTCCTCTTATCCTCCCAGCTGTCACTGCTGGGTCCATATTTTCTCAGAAAGCAGATACAAACTCAGCACAGGAGCATGATTGGTGTGGACCATACCTGCTAGCCTGAGAGCTCCTGTCATAAATATTAAGAGAAGGGTAACTACCTTTCCGTATACAGTGCTATAAAATCCCTCCTGGCCAGAGGCAACATCCTGTTACCTGTAAAGGGTTAAGAAGCTCAGCTAACCTGGCTGTCACCTGACCCAAAGGACAAGATACTTTCAAATCTTGGGAGGAGGCTTTTGTTTGTGCTCTTTGTTTACGTGGTTGTTCTCTCTTGGGTCTGAGAGAGGCCAGACAGAAATCCGTCTTCTCCAACCCATCCTAACCCAAGTCTCCAATACTGCAACCAGTATAGGTAAGCCAGGCAAGGCAGATTAGTTTATCTTTTGTTTTATGTGAATTTTCCCTGTGTTAAGAGGGAGGTTTATTCCTGTTTTCTGTAACTTTAAGGTTTTGCCCAGAGGGGGATCCTCTGTGTTTTGAATCTGAATACCCTGTAAAGTATTTTCTATCCTGATTTTACAGAGATGATTTTTACCTTTCTTTTTTTTTTTTAATAAAATCCTTCTTTTAAGAACCTGACTGATTTTTCCATTGTTCCAAAATCCAGGGGTTTGGGTCTTTGATGATTTTGTAACAATTGGTTAGGATATTATTCTCAAGCCTCCCCAGGAACGGGGATGTGTAGGACTTGGGGAGATCTTTTGGGGGGAAGATGTCTCCACATGGTCTCTTTCCCTGTTCTTTGTTTAAAACGCTTGGTAGTGGCAGCATACTGTTCAAGGACAAGGCAAAGTTTGTACCTTGGGGAAGTTCTTAACCTAAGCTGGTAAGAATAAGGTTAGGGGGTCTTTCATGCGGGTCCCCACATCTGTACCCTAGAGTTCAGAGTGGGGAAGGAACCCTGACACCTCCAAAAGCCTGAGATCAAATTAACATAATATTTTATGCTAAATTGCATACTCATAAGCTGTTAGAAAATTGAAATGTGAAGACCAGGATGAGCATGAATATTTAGTAGTTTTTTTCACTGAAAAGTATTTGTAACTGTATTTTTATATGGCTATAATTTATGGACAGATATTGGGTAACATAAAACCAGAAGCTATATAATATTTTTCACTATAGTATAAGTAATTTACAATCATGTAACCACAAATACAAAAGGCAAACCCCAGATGTCTTCCTAATCTTGCAGGGTAGTGACCAGTAACTTTTTCACTTAGTACTACTGTTGTAGGAGACAGGAAAGTATTGTGATTGAGAATGTCTGTATGATTTATTGCAGCGGCTTGCTTCTGGCGGGAATATCGCACTTGTCTCTCGTTTTTTAAATCCCTGTCTAAATTCTGTTCTCTGAGAACTTTAAATCATTATTGTGTAATTTATCATTTTTTTGTGTATGCACACTAACTGTACAAGTATTTAATAGACTAGATTTACAGGCCAACTTATCCCCATTGTAAGCCCATTGACTTCAGTGGGTTTACACAGGAGATGCATTTGGCACTACATTTTTAACGGACAAACATTAACTTTTCTTAAGTAAACACATTTTTCATACCTAAAGGTATGAAGTTTTAAATGTACTGCACTGTTTTTATAAGTGCAGAACTTTCTGCATGGATATCAGTGTTTCAGGGAACCATGATAAAGTAGCTATAAATAAGAAAATGTTTTGACACAGGTAGTATGTTTTCCTTTTGCCTCTTTTTTTATTCATTGGACCAGGCTCTGCTCTGAAGTTTGATGGTGCAATTTTGGAATAACTCCAGTAACTGCAATAGAGTTCCCTGGGCTTACAAATGAAGATCAGAATTTGGCCCATCTTCCTTTCTTTTTCTCTAATCCCTATCCCTCCACCCACTTCCTATCAAACTCTGCAGTTTCCTGTGTTTATTTTTTCTCACAATTATGGTTATGATGTCCTCTGACCCATTTTAACTTTCAAACAGGAAAATTAGTAAGTTGTCCTCTCAACCAGGTTAATAAGACTGGTTTGAGAGAATACAAACCAGTAATTAGGTAAGGCAGCCAACACCATTCTGGTTACTCTGGTCTTGATTTTGATGCCAACTTTACATTCCTGATGTTCTTTGCTTTCTTTTTTCCAGCTGCCTACAGAATCATTGTTTTATCGAGCTGTTCTACAGGTTATTATAGAGGAATGTTACGGTGTCATCAAAAGGTATGAGATTCTGAGACCAAGGCCTAATTCTTCCTCCCTTATTCTGCAAGTTGTAACTACTAGCATGAGAGTTGCAGAATGAGGCCCTAAATTCTGTCTGTATCTGTTTATATTACGAATGCAGTCAGTAAATAATACTGGGCTCTTTCATTTGCTCTGAATCCATATGCAGAGGATACCATCCACAAAGAGCTCTTGCCCTTCCAGCATTGCAGAGGTATTTGCCCTATCCTTGGCACTGGACATGTAGGCAACTGTTGCAAATTCAATAAAAAGCCTAGTGAGGAGAGAGTCTGGTGGCTCCCACGATGGGAGAGGGCATAAAGGACAGGGTGGATCAGGTCCTGCAAGATTTCTGGCCCCCCATGGGACTTCCAGGATGGGCTGGAGGTCTTGCTGGATTTGACATGAGATCTGGAGCCAGAAAAATAGCCCTGTGCTCAGGGCCACTTCCTGTTTTCCAATCTGTCCAGGGGTCGACTCACCCTCTCTCCCTTATGTAGGTTGCTGCTTTGGGGCTGGGAAGGAGTTTTTCCCCATACCACCAGACTGACTGAGGCTGGTTGGGTTTTCACCTTCCTCACAGTGAAATCTAGGGGTTGAGTTTTTTGTACAATCGGAGGGCTGGGATTCTCCCACACAGAGGGCACATGTGAGAGTCATTTAAGTTGTCACAACTTTTGACAGGTGCCCAGTGGAGGAACTAGCTGATTTAGGCTCCATATTCAAGAAAGAATGGTAAAATAATGAGCATCCCAATGACATCTCCTTACGAGATGGGAGCAACATGTCTAATCCCTTGGGGAGAAATGCAAACCAGGGGCTAGAATGTTACCCTGGGGGGACCACCCTGCCAATGCCCTTTATAGCAGTCCTAGCAGCAGGATGGGGGTTAATATCTCCTCTTGCCTCAGCCCCCAAAAGTGGGAGAGATGCTCGTGGGCGGATGGAGGTCCCCAGAGAACTTCCTAGTGTGATGATTGACTCCCCCTGTGGTGAGAGCACCCTCAAGAACTAGCAAAGGAACAATGCACGGGACTCCATCTCAATGGTAACCTTGAAGATAATTTGACTAGTAAAGTTGAGGCCTGGTTAAACCCTCACCATGTGTTCTTGCCTTCTTCCATGTGGTGAGCACAGCAATACAGCTTTGAGCTATACAGACTGCATCTGAGAGTGCTTCTTTATCATAGGTCTCATAGTCAGCTACTGACTTGAAGGCCTGTCAGTGCACATTGAGTTGAGCAGCGGGGAGCCCAAGAGCCAGTGTGGACACCCAGGGCAATTGGCAAATTGTCTTTGGCATTTGGGGTGGGAGCATAGCTTTTTCCATCGATGGGCAACCTCCCAACAGAAGAATTTCTTCCTTTGCTTGACATTATGTATAATAAAACTACAAAGAAGATTTAGCAGAACATGAGAACTAGGTTGTAAAAACTGAAAGTATGGGCTAGACCAGTGTATGTTATCTATTAAAGTAAAGGTAACATGGGGGACGTAATAAAGATTGCACTTTTGAAATTAAAAGAGTTTTAGGCCCAGTTTTTAAGCTCGCTAATGTGAAATGTCTCCAGTTTTGATGAAGTAGCTGGAATTTTCTTTGTCTCGGTGAAGCCTTGTGGGACCAGTTCAGCAGTTTTTAAGATGTCAGGTTCCTTATCCAATAACACTTAAAAAGCAGTTTAAGACAATTAAAAGAATGAATTATGATGCCTTGAGTCATTAAGAGCCTATTCTGACTTTTTAGAGCTCCATGTATTCAGTATATATCTTTCTTGTTACAACTATGCTGCTTCTGATTTGTGGGACAGATATACTAAATGCTTATTTTTATCAAAGAATCTTTTAAATGCATAGCCATTAAGTAGTCTTTAGACTGCATTTGCCCAGAGGTTTTATTGCATTGGAATAAAAAAATACAGTCACAGGAATTTCCTATTTCCCTAAAAATAAAATAAAATAAAATTAAATTAAATTAAAATAAAATTGAATGTTAATTGACACAAAGAACTTGGAGCCTGACCCCAAACCCAATGATATCAATGGAAGTCTTTCTGTCAACTTCAATAGGCTTTGAATCAAGCTCACAGTTGAAAAGAATAGGCTTTCTATGAGTTTCCAGTAAAATAGTTTTTAAGAAGATATACCTGTCAAGCTGTCCTACAGTGATTCAAGAGCATGAGTACCAACTTCAGGACAGGTTTCAGAGTAGCAGCCGCGTTAGTCTGTATTCGCAAAAAGAAAAGGAGTACTTGTGGCACCTTAGAGACTAACAAATTTATTGGAGCATAAGCTTTCGTGAGCTACAGCTCACTTCATTGGATGCATTCAGGACAGACTGTTAAGAGGCAGGGCACAAACCCCAAATTGGCTTTAAGTTCTATACTTAGATTTCACTAACCAAGCATCAAGTGCAAACTCCTCAGGTACTATAATAGTCTAACCATGGAGCCACAGACAGTCCCCTTGGGTATGCCAATCTGCCTTGTCACCTAAGCAAGCTTGCTTTTGTGATAGATGGTCTCTTACACTAAAAATCACAACAATGTTCAGGTTGCTCTCAGTCCCAAAGGACCAGTCACTTACCTCAAGTCAGTTGCGCCTTAGATATCACACCAAAGACAATGCTTGTAGCCAACTCTATAATAAACTATCTAAAGATTTGTTAATTAGGAAAAGGAAATAAGAGAGTTATTTACAAGGTTAAAGCAGGTAAACATACATACACAAAGGAGTTACAGTCTTAAGTTTCAAAAGGTAATAGAAGTGTTTTTATAAGCTCTATTTGTCCCTTGAAGTAACCCAGGCTAAACACTGGGGACCTCTTGCTTATGCCTAGAAAACCTTGCTCTTGAGAGTACAAGCAGCACAGAGATACAGTTTCTCCTTATCAGAGATTTTTATTCACCTTTCTCCTCTAAACTGCCAGCTCAGCTGATGGGAGGAATTTATTTGCACTTCTCCTCTTCGTGGGAGGGATTGGGAGACAGGGAGAGCAATCAACAAAGTATTTTGTCCTCTGATGTTCCACAGTAGTTCATCTGGTGTCAAGCGGCCTTCTGTGTTGGGCAGGACCTAATGCTTTCTTTTGGAAGCCAGCGTTTCACACTAAAAGCACGTCTTCACTGGCAACATTAAAGCACTGCTGCGGCAGCACTTTAATGTAGTTTGTGTAGTCACGGCACAGCGCTGGGAGAGCTAAAAAAACCACCTCCACGAGGGGCGCAGCTATCAGCCCTGGGATGCGGCTGCCAGCGCTGGTGCACTGTCTACACTGGCACATTACAGCAATGAACTTTGCAGCGCTCAAGGGGGTGTTTTTTCACACCCCTGAAAGAGAAAGTTGCAGCACTGTAAAGTGCCAGTGTAGGCAAGCCCTTATTCAGGTCCCTTTCCTGTCTGGTGATTTACAGTTCCAGAAACATACCACGCAAAGACTCAAAGACTATCTTAAAATATGGGATACAGATGTTATAAGGGAGATTAATGCATACAACAACTTACAAGCATTCAATAAAGTCTAAATACTAAGCACACTTTTATAATGCTCATACTTATTTTAACAGTAGTAAAAACACAGGTGAACCAGACTAATTCTAGCTATGTGTTTGGCAGTATCAAAGTGAGGCATGGGGACCTTGGCAGAAATTGGCACCTGGTTTGCCAGTGTTATAATATCTAATTAATATTTTATGGAAAATCTGTTTGTTCATAAATAATACATTGAAGAGAATATTTGTGAGTAGCTAATGTCTTTGGGATTATGATTCTTACAGTACAAGACTACCAAGGTCAGTGAGACCTGGAGCTGTGTGTTATGTAGGTGATGGCTTTGAACGTTAATTCAGACTGAGTTCTGACAAAACATATTCATACATTTTTTTCCTAAGGTATTTCAAACGGAGATTACATGTAATTTGCTAATGTGAGTGCATCTTCTGTTTGCCTTCTGGTACTTTTTGTGCATTGCTTTACCACTTTGCCTGAACCAATTCAAATATTGGTCAAGTTTCTGAAGAGACACCCCAAATTGTAAATCTGGAAAATTCTAACATTGCCTAATTTAAATGAGAATCACATACTACACGTACATCTAGGAGAGAAATCTGCAAGGCATAAATAAGATCAGAATCACACTTAACTTACTATGTGATCCTGGATCAGCAGATGACATTGAAGAAGTTCTGCTTTCATAAACATTGAACTCTTGCTAATATTGTCAAGTGAGGCATTGAAAATGGACACTGTGTAATGGATCCAATAAAATAAAAACAATGATAGGAGAGGAATGGAAATAAAAAATATCACCTTCACCTCATTCATAATTTCAGGTATTCATGAGTAATAATATTTTTGGTCTAAAAACTTCTTTGGGTATTAGTTAGCTTGCTTTGATGTATTTTTAGATAAAAGAAAAAGTAAAATTGAAATAAATTATTATTCTAACTTCTTAGAATATCTATTGTATATGTTTTTAATGGAGCTGAGATTTATGAAACAATAATATGGAACTTTTGTGTTCTGAGAAAATTAAAAGAATAACCTCAATACTACATTTGCAGTGATCGGCATGTTGGTAAAATTTTCTCCAAGTCTTCCTCTTTTGTGGATTATGTCAGAAAGTCTCTGAAGAAGCTTGAACTAGATGAGTCAAAGGTAAGCAGCTGATTTCATATTGCATACAATTCACATACCAATGTAAATTCTAAGAAGTGGCCAGAATTTTGATGGAGCTATTTGTATATATTATGTGAGCAGCTATTATTACTAGAATATACATCAATGCATCTTCAGCTCTTTGTGAATTAAACAATATTTATCCAAGACAAATTATTTCAGTTTGTATATTCAGTTTGGGGATTAACTGCCACTTTTGTTTTCTTTAAAATACGTTCATTTTCATTTTAAAACTTATGACTTGTGAGATACCTTTTTATTTTTATTTTTGTATGATTACTAGTAGTCTAAATAATGTTTTTGAAACCCCCCAGAAAATACACTCTAAAGCCTAAGTGTTTATAATTAATGAACATCTCTATTTATCCAGATACATTTACAATATGCTTTTCCTTCTCCTTTGTCCTCCAAGACATACGTGGTGGAGATGGGTACTCCACCACATAACTCTTGCATCCTCTTTGTGGCCTAAAATCATAAAATGAGTACTAGACTGTAGATACAGCATCAAAGCCAGGAACAAGGCTTAGCTGAGACCTTTACTCATATGAGCTGATAACGCTTCCTGGTTCATTCAATTTTCCTTCCAATTTTACCATGCTCTGATAGCATGAAAAGACTCAGTACAGGGTTTGGCAGAGCTAGGGTTAAAGCTCCTAGATGCCTTTGTAATCCAGGGAAAATAGGTGGACTAATCTGATTCTGTGAAGGAGGTGGATTGTAGAAAGAATAGTAAATATGGCAGGCGACCACCTTGGCTTAACAGTGAAATCCTTGCTGCTTTTATGGAAAGTGAAACAGTGAAATCCTTGCTTTTACCTTGCTCTTAAATACAAAAAAGAAGCTTACAAGAAGTGGAAGATTGGACAAATGACCAGGTATGAGTATAAAAATATTGCTCGGGCTTGCAGGAGTGAAATCAGAAAGGCCAAATAACACCTGGAGTTGCAGCTAGCAAGAGATGTTAAGAGTAACAAGAAGGGTTTCTTCAGGTATGTTAGCAACAAGAAGAAAGTCAAGGAAAGTGTGGGCCCCTTACTGAATGAGGGAGGCAACCTCGTAACAGAGGATGTGCAAAAAGCTAATGTACTCAATGCTTTTTTTGCCTCTGTCTTCACGAACAAGGTCGGCTCCCAGACTACTGCACTGGGCAGCACAGCATGGGGAGGAGGTGACCAGCCCTCTGTGGAGAAAGAAGTGGTTCGGGACTATTTAGAAAGGCTGGACGAGCACAAGTCCATGGGGCCGGATGCGTTGCATCCGAGAGTGCTAAAGGAGTTGGCGGATGTGACTGCAGAGCCATTGGCCATTATCTTTGAAAACTCATGGTGATCGGGGGAGGTCCCAGATGACTGGAAAAAGGCTAATGTAGTGCCCGTCTTTAAAAAGGGGAAGAAGGAGGATCCTGGGAACTACAGGCCAGTCAGCCTCACCTCAGTCCCTGGAAAAATCATGGAACAGGTCCTCAAGGAATCAATTCTGAAGCACTTAGAGGAGAGGAAAGTGATTAGGAACAGTCAGCATGGATTCACCAAGGGCAAGGCATGCCTGACTAATCTAATTGCCTTCTATGACGAGGTAACTGGCTCTGTGGATGAAGGGAAAGCAGTGGACGTGTTATTCCTTGACTTTAGCAAAGCTTTTGACATGGTCTCCACAGTATTCTTGCCAGCAAGTTAAAGAAGTATGGGCTGGATGAACGGACTATAAGGTGGATAGAAAGCTGGCTAGATTGTCGGGCTCAACGGGTAGTGATCAATGGCTCCATGTCTAGTTGGCAGCCGGTATCAAGTGGAGTGCCCCAGGGGTCGGTCCTGGGGCCGGTTTTGTTCAATATCTTCATAAATGATCTGGAGGATGGTGTGGATTGCACCCTCAGCAAGTTTGCAGATGATACTAAACTGGGAGGAGTGGTAGATACACTGGAGGGTAGGGATAGGATACAGAGGGACCTAGACAAATTGGAGGATTGGGCCAAAAGAAATCTGTTGAGGTTCAAAAAGGACAAGTGCAGAGTCCTGCACTTAGGACAGAAGAATCCAATGCACCGCTACAGACTAGGGACCGATTGGCTCGGCAGCAGTTCTGCAGAAAAGGACCTACGGGTTACAGTGGACAAGAAGTTGGATATGAGTCAACAGTGTGCCCTTGTTGCCAAGAAGGCCAATGGCATTTTGGGATGTATAAGTAGGGGCATTGCCAGCAGATCGAGGGACGTGATTGTTCCCCTCTATTCGACATTGGTGAGGCCTCATCTGGAGTACTGTGTCCAGTTTTGGGCCCCACACTACAAGAAGGATGTGGAAAAATTGGAAAGAGTCCTGCGGAGGGCAACAAAAATCATTGGGGGACTGGAACACATGACTTATGAGGAGAGGCTGAGGGAACTGGGGATGTTTAGTCTTCAGAAGAGAAGAATGAGGGGGGATTTGATAGCTGCTTTCAACTACCTGAAAGGGGGTTCCAAAGAAGATGGCTCTAGACTGTTCTCAGTGGGAGCAGATGACAGAAGAAGGAGTAATGGTCTCAAGTTGCAGTGGGGGAGGTTTAGGTTGGATATTAGGAAAAACTTTTTCACTAAGAGGGTGGTGAAACACTGGAATGCGTTACCTAGGAAGGTGGTGGAATCTCCTTCCCTAGAAGTTTTTAAGGTCAGGCTTGACAAAACCCTGGCTGGGATGATTTAGTTGGGGATCGGTCCTGCTTTGAGCAGGGGGTTGGACTAGATGAACTCCTGTGGTCCCTTCCACCCCTGATATTCTATGATTCTATGATATAGAACAGCAGGTAAGAACATAAGAATGGCCATACTGGTTAAGACCAATGGTCTATCAAGACCAGTGTCCTAGCTTCTGACAGTGACCAGTGCCAGATGGGTAATAAGTTGAATGGCAGTGTCAGTAGGAAAACCAGAGTAATTCCCTTGCTTTCCCTTTAGCCGTGTTGACTTAGGTCTTAGATGACTTGTTATAAATCAAGCCTTTCCTTTCCGCTTTCTATGTAGATACTCAGTGTGGCCTCCATGACCATAGTGACTGAATGCCTCCTTATATAAAACCCATTTTACACACGCTGTCATCTAACATAAATAAACACACCTCCCACATGCTTGAGTTTCAGATCAAGGATGTGGATTCTTTTGCCTGTGCTGAAACTATGCTGGTCAGCCTTCCATAACTTTCTTATTTCATCTGCAGGTATGATAAGCATGCCTCCTGTGTCTTCATTATAGTTCCAAATGAACCATTATTCTGCACAAATATGGAGATATTTCACCTTTATTATTTAAAGTTATGAAGATCAGAAAAGCTGAATAGTGCGGCAGAGATAACAGAATAAGTGGTTTTTGCTTAATAAATTAACCCCTCATCATTTTCAGCTTCCCGTACTCTTATTTTCCTATCCCCCTTATTTGAGGGTCTTTGTTCTATTGGAGGATACAGTGGTATAGCAACAGGAGACATTCCTTTTGCTCAAGGAATGAGTGTGCTCTACCCTGAGCATTTCCAGCTGGTCATGCTATGGAAGCTTGGACCTAAACTCATGCTCTGAATTGTGCTACCACTGGACTACCATACTGCTATCAATATTAAAATGAAATATTTTAGCCACAGCTGTAGAAGACCAGAGGAATAGATCCAGTTCTGTCTATACTTTAATTCATTATATAACCAGATTATGTTTGTGTAAAAAATTCTCACAATGGAGGGAGGCAGTAAAAAGATCTAAAATTGGATATTAAATAATGCACAGAGTGTACAGTTTTAGATTAAATCTATGTTATATTACATTTACAAACTTATATTTAAACAAATCTGTGCATGGAGAACAAGTATATATTAATGTGTTTCTGATTCTATAATGACCATCTGTTAATCTTCAAAACTCTGTAAACAAGTGAAGTGTCTAGCTAATCTAACATGCTTGTGGATTGGTTCTCAGTCTTAGGAAGTTACTGTGAGAGATGTGGAGTAAGAGACAGAACATTTTCATACTAGCCATTATCATTCCAAAGCAGGAAGGGCTACATATGAGAGATTTATATGTGGCTAGAGTCCAAGTAGAAGACGATCAAAAATGGGAAATCCCAAGAAGTCACTTATAAAAGAGGACCGGGAACATTTTGCCGTTTTCTCACATTAGTAAAGTCATCTGTATGGCTATATAGTTTGGAATCTGCCCAAAAAATTCGTTATAAATTCTAGCTTGTATGTACAGTTTAGGATAAAAATGTGCTCCTGATTGCCCTGTGAAATTTCTAAATGGTTGTTTCTGCCTTGAATGTTGTTGCATTAAATCCATTTCGTCCTTTGGTGGACAGTCAAGCCTACCACTTCCCTGGGGCTAAAAAATAACCCTAGGGGAGGCACTACATTTGCCTACCTTTTTGTGCAGTTCTGATAGAATGATGGATAGGACAAGGGGAAAAGGCAGTAGTGGAGTGAGGGAGGGTGTGGAGGAGTGAGGATAGTATTTTTCTCAAAGATGGTTTCTTTGTCCTTACACAGTTACTGGTTCTAGTCACATTCACATAGATACACACAATTTTGTAAGAAGAAAGCACCAGCAGTCAGCTAGAAAGAGGAGAGGAAGCCCTTATCTGGCAGAAGCTCTCTTACTTTCTAATTCACCAAATACCCTTTGTCACCTGTGATCGTATGAGGGAGCACTTCTTACTTTCACATTTATGCAGAACAGAGACACCTTGAGTGATTGATGCAGGGGCTTATACCAGCTCCTTCCTCCAGAGGAGTGTCCACCTTTCCACTTAAAGGCTTCTTTGATCTTTTAAGAAAGAAAAAGAAACAGAAAGGATGGGTTTTTCTCTCTTTCCAGTTTTGCTACCACTGTCCAGTAAAAAATATTCAAGCTCCCTCTGCAGCCTCAGCAGAAAGCAGGGTAGGGAGTAGGGCTACTTGGAAAAGGGAAGGAAGACAGCTCATTTGCAGGTGCTTTGCTACTCCTGAGCATGCATGGATATGGGTTTTTTGCCTACGAAGCTGACCTTCCACCTCAGTAGGTCAGTCAAGGATACAAGTGTTACTCCTGCGGGAATAACGCAATATAATCACTCTGGTTTCAATTCTTTCAGTAATTTATTTAAACTACAATACAATGGATGAAGAATGGGAGTGGGGAGCATTGGAGGGAATCCCGAAACCCCCTCTGTCTAATAGTAATGTAGCTAGGTTTGACCCTTTATTTCTAGTTATTAGTCAACAAATATATGCAGCCGTATGTTCAGTGTTACATCATAGGCAACTGAAGAGCAAGTGAGGGCTGGGGAATCAAACTCAGAATTTATATTGGCTACTGACCATCTCCAGAAAGGTCAGTAGCAAACAGTTCCTGGAGCACATTTTGATAGGAAATTCTTTCTGTTCAAAAATTTAGACCAGCTCTAATCACGAAAGCACCATAAGCATTTATAAAGCCATACTGTCCTTTACATCCCTCTGGCAATGTGAAGAAGTCTTAAAACTTTTACACCTGTTTTATACTCCTCGGGGAACTCACAAAGACAATGAGAACAATTCACTAAGCAGGCAGGCTGCTACATTCTGCTCTGCCGGAGGGGACAGAGCCTGCTCCATGCCTACCTCCTCAGAAATACCTTGAAGCCCTGCCCCTCCATGCTGAGCATGCTGCAATAGTGAGGAAGAGAGTGTCTGTCTGTCTCTCTCTCTCTCACACACTTGCACAACTGCCCAGCCCCTCTCCCACCCCTCCTGACAGTGATTTACATCTCTACCGGCTGCTCTGGACACTCAAGCCAACCTGCCTGTGCTGCCGGGGAGGGGCTCATGAACACTTTTGCCGCTTCCCATTGCTTTCCTGTCATAAGTAATTTTTCTGCGGGGAAGCAAAGGAATCTGCAGGGAACATGAATTCTGCACACGTGCAGTGACACAGAATTCACACAGGAGTAAAGTGTTCGTACATGCCTCAGAAAACCTGAAACAGGACTCGGACATTCTCAGGTAAATTAAAAATTAGTTATTTTGCAAATATATTTCGTTGTTACTTTTACTTTTAACAATTCATAATCTATTTAAGCTAAACTATTCCTACCCTAAATAGGTAGCATGTTCACCCCAGCCCAATATAAAGGAATACAGCAAATGGCTTCAAGTATAATAAAACTTGCTATGGCAGAACTCTCAAGATCTTCTTATAATTTAGTTTTATGAATCTGTCATTATAGTATCATGTATTTTTAAAGCTCTCTCATGATAGCCTATGTTTTAGTGTGTATAAAACATAATGGGCCAAGTTCAGTGCTGATATATACTCCAGGTTTACCACTAAATTGTCCAAGTTAATATGTTTAAAGAGAGTAACAAGCTCAGTTTCTAGTATTTCTGTCCTAGATGGACATCTAAATATGAAAATCTGGAACCTTTTGGTAGTAATGTAATGGTAGGTACCCCCATGTTATTTATAGAAAATGATTGAAAATATCTATTCTTTAATTGTTTTATATCAATACAGTAACACTGATTAATGCAAAAAGATTAAATTTTATTTAAATCCATTTTTCAACCTTCTTTGCACCCAATGTCTTAGCACCATTGCTATTTTTTATACTCTTCAGGGCTTCTTTGTGGCAGCCTGAACTCATGCAAGGGTTAAGTCATTCAAGTATAAATTCTATATAGAGATAGCTTTGTCAATTGATATTCCACCTACAGAGAAAAGGTATTAAATAATCACCTTGAATCCATCTTTTCACCACATCCAAGCATACAAGCTACTGTATTAGGTATAGCTAACTTTTTCACTGAGGATGGTTACTTTGTCTTGTAGTCAAAATATTTCACACAGAATTTAACAACTCCTCCAGAAGTATCCAGTTAAATATGTACTATGGAGATTCAGTAGCAATTCCACAGTTTAGTCTGTGTTATCTTAAGAGTGTGTGTGTTTGTATATATTGCTGTAAGTTTGATTGATTTTCTAAATCCATAGTGCTGCATCAAAAATGTTGGCTGTGCCTAAAATTTTTCATTTCAGTTTTGCACAATATGTTAGTGGTGTTTAAATGAATGGCACAGCAGTAAATTGCATACCTGGAAACAATAACCCTGCAGCAAAGACATTTTCCTCTCTTTAAAAATAATTTAAAGAGCTCTGATATTTGTTATGTTGCATCTAGAAAGTCAGAACGAAAAATATTCTGAATCTCCTGATGCTTTTTTATTTTATTTTAGCTTTTTTATGCAGCACATAACGAGAAATGTTTATCATCGCATAACCTGCTTATTCTTATGATATGGGATGCTTTTTATTGGTACAGCCCTTCATTTGTGCAGTATATAGAGCAGTAGTACTTTTAATCTGTACAATAAAACAAGCTTGTTATTTTTATTAACATTCTTTGAAGGAATTGAATGCCATTCATTTTTAAAAGAATGCTTATATTGTAATAATTTCACTGGTACATTTCTTTTATGATCATTAATTTGAGTCAGGATATGGGTATTCTCAAGGGGACTTGATGTTCATTGGTCTTGCAGTGAATTTTTAAGATATTTAGTCTTAGTTAAAATTACTATTCCAATTTTGCTACATTAAGATTGTGCCTTAGTGAATTGCAGAGTATTTCATTTTTCAGTGGTAAAACTAACTAGATTATGACTGATACTGTGTAGATAATATGTTGATCATTCTGTTAATTAGAATTCATTATCATTTTGTCTTACAAAAATGTATCCAAAGCAATTTTTATCATTTCCTTGAACATATTTTTAGACAGTTGATACGTGTCTTGTTTTTACCAGCATCACCAGAGCGACACACAGTCTATAGCCTCCTGGCTGGGGCAGACAATAATGAACAGTGCATATTCTCTGGCCCTCAGGGTGGGGAAGAGCAACAAATAGTCTATAGCCACAACCTCCTGGCTGTGGCAGACAGTAGTTAGAGTCTACAGGCCTGAGGGCCTAAAGTGAGAATGCAGCCAATACCTAGCTGTGGGGTTGGCAGCGAAGGGGGAAGAATAGGGGGACCCAGGTCCACCCTACTCCACCAGATCCCAGCCCAGGGCCCTACCAGTGGCATGTGATCCCACCACTGTGTCAGCAGGGACCCTCCCAAAACACACTGACGGCAGCTGCAGCAACACAACCAGACTAAAGTCTGGTTTTCCCTGGGCTACTTCCTACCTGTACCTCTTCATAGGCCCCCATTGCTCATGGGCCCCCAGTCTCCTCTGAGTACTCAGCAGCTGGCAGTCCCAGCAGCTCCTCAAGGTACTCGACTGGCAGCAGTCCCGGCAGCTCCTCAGAATACTCAACTGGTGGCAGTCATAGAATCATAGAATATCAGGGTTGGAAGGGACCTCAGGAGGTCATCTAGTCCAACCCCCTGCTCAAAGCAGGACCGATCCCCAATTAAATCATCCCAGCCAGGGCTTTGTGAAGCCTGACCTTAAAAACTTCTAAGGAAGGAGATTCCACCACCTCCCTAGGTAACGCATTCCAGTATTTCACCACCCTCCTAGTGAAAAAGTTTTTCCTAATATCCAACCTAAATCTCCCCCACTGCAACTTGAGACCATTACTCCTTGTCCTATCACCCGCTACCACTGAGAATAGTCTAGATCCATCCTCTTTGGAACCCCCTTTCAGGTAGTTGAAAGCGGCTATCAAATCCCCCCTCATTCTTCTCTTCCGCAGACTAAACAATCCCAGTTCCCTCAGCCTCTCCTCATAAGTCATGTGTTCCAGGCCCCTAATCATTTTTGTTGCCCACTGCTGGACGTTTTCCAATTTTTCCACGTCCTTCTTGTAGCGTGGGGCCCAAAACTGGACACAGTACTCCAGATGAAGCCGTACCAATGTTGAATAGAGGGGAACGATCACGTCCCTCGATCTGCTGGCAATGCCCCTACTTATACATCCCAAAATGCCATTGGCCTTCTTGGCAACAACGGCACACTGTTGACTTATATCCAGCTTCTCGTCCACTGTAACCCGTAGGTCCTTTTCTGCAGAACTGCTGCCTAGTCATTTGGTCCCTCGTCTGTAGCGGTGCACGGGATTCTTCCGTCCTAAGTGCAGGACTCTGCACTAGTCCTTGAACCTAATCAGATTTCTTTTGGCCCAATCCTCCAATTTGTCTAGGTCCATCTGTATCCTATCCCTACCCTCCAGCATATCTACCTCTCCTCCCAGTCTAGTGTTATCTGCAAATTGCTGAAGATGCAATCCACACCATCCTCCAAATCATTAATGCCACGTCTTGCTCCTGACTCCTGTCTTAAACCCCAGCCTAGCTTGACTTTGGTACCTGTCTTCTTACTCAGCTTGGTAGCTAGTCCTGACTCCTGCCTTTGACGCTGGCCCAGCTTGACCCTGGTACCCATCTCCTGACTTGGGTTGGTAACTTGTCTCAACTCCTGCCTTCAATTCCTACCCAGCAGACTGCTGGCCTGGCCACCTACACCCCAGATATAACAGTCTCATACTTCGTTAACATGAGCCAATGATCCATGTCAGATAAGTCCATATTTCAAAAGATACTGGGTTCAGTCCTGTATCAGTAATCAGCATATTGTTTATTCTATAATTGATACTGTGGTTTCATGCATTTGTTTCTGTGGAAATTATGTTCCTTTCTAAATTAGTGTCAAAAGGAAGAAATAGTTTAATTTCAGTGTGTTCCGTTTCCTATAGTATTAAGTACAGATTTACATGTTAAGGCCATTGTAAGACCAAGTATTTAAGGCTGGAAATTATGAAGAAGCCTAAGGGAATTGGGTGCCCAAATCCCAATAAGCTTCTTTAAAAATCCCAGCCTTAAATTTATTAGGCCAGATAATGTCTCTATATGGAAATGCCTACATAGGGGCTGGGAAACTACGGGAGGTTCTCTTCATGGACTTCCCTCTGAATTCATCCATGGTTTGTTCTCTTGTAGAAGAAATCGGGGTCCAGCCCACACACCCAGTAGATCCTTTGACATCCGGTGGACCTTGGAGTCCAGTGGGGAGCACCCAGATGGAGGCCCTCTGTCTTCATGATTCTATGCTGACCTGTGTCTTGCAGGTGCTCCAGCCATATACCAACATTAATGTAATGTTAAATAATCTTTAATGCCATTGGCAACATTAATTTCCATATGGCATTTTTCACTAGTTGCACCAGAGTGACAATGTGTACACTCCTTTCCCTCCCCTGCCCCCTGACAATCTGTCACTCTTACTTGCTGGCCTGCTCCTTTCCCATGCATGACTCTTTGGACCTATGGAGAGCATGCCAGAAGAATGAGAGGGATCGTGCTATACAGGTAGCTGACCTCCTATCTCTTCTGCATGGAGAGGGGGAGATCAACATATTGGAAGGTCCTCTCTGCTGATTTTTCACTCACTGGAGAACAATGGCTTGAATGTTCCAAATGACCTTTGCAGTTAATTTGACTATATATGACCCTTTCAAAACTGCATGTTGCACATTGGCAGTGAGATATTTTGCATGCGGTTTTTCATTAAACTTGTAAAGGGTGTAACTAAGGCAGGCTGTGCTAGGCATGCATCGATGACAAACTTAGCTGCACAGTGAAATATGTACTGAAGATGTGCATGGGAAAAGGGAGAAGCCCTCAGACTCTGTGGAGCTTGTCAGGACCAAGGAGTTATGAAGGGCTGCTTTATGATTTGTATGAAGTTTCATGGGAAAGAGATTCTGTCCTAAAAGAAAAGGAGTACTTGTGGCACCTTAGAGACTAACCAATTTATTTGAGCATAAGCTTTCGTGAGCTGTAGCTCACGAAAGCTTATGCTCAAATAAATTGGTTAGTCTCTAAGGTGCCACAAGTACTCCTTTTCTTTTTGCGAATACAGACTAACACGACTGTTACTCTGAAACCTAGATTCTGTCCTGTAGCTTTCCTAAAATGCTTAGGATAGGATGTTTGATAGTGTCTGTCCAAAAACTTCCTGGTTAGGTAATTTAGATACCAATTTTTTTGTAAAACCAACATAGCTTCAAAAATCTGGAAGTTAAATGCCTTAGTTTTGTGGGTGGTTGTTTTTAATGTTAAAATTAGGAAATTCCAGACAAAAACTATGTTGAGAACATTATGACCTATACAATTAAACAGTCAAGGGAGGAAATGCCAAAATAACAACTGTACACTTTACTCTCCCTCTCCTTGTCTATAAGTGTATGGTAATCTTTAATTACATGATTGCAGAGTATTTCTCAAGATGTATAACATGATTTTTTTTGACTTTGAAAAACAAATGTATAGCATCTCGTGATTTTCTTTTTTTAATGCTGCTACTTTCTTTGTCATAATGCAGCATAACTTCAGCAGCCTTTCATTTAACCACCTAGCCTTATGTGTCCTGAGAGGCTATTACATACCTAGCTCCTACTACTTTTGTGCTTCCCCACTCTCACTTTAAACTTATTACCATTTCAGCACCTGCCCCCTGTCCTTTGTTTGTGTTTCCCCAGATTAGATTCCAGTGATGATGGAATCTGTGAAATTGATCGCTGCCTTACATTTTTAAAGAAAGAGAAAACAGACTTCACTATCCACTGACGTATGCCAAAATATTGTCAGTTGTCATGGATTTTTTTACAAGCAGCGCTGGGCTTGGAATTTAGCTGTAGGGTATTTGTTTTTATATTGGATTGTTTCATTTTAAGAAAATGTAGTGCAGAGTAATGAATTAATCAGATTAGACCAATGGTGGCACTTGAGCACTTGGCCGTGGTCCGTGGAGAGCTGTTCTCCTCCTTGTTTCCAGTTGCTACATTGCATTAAAAGAATCTAAAAGTATATCAACTACTTTCCTACTACTACATTTGTAATTATGTAATGGCTATAGTTACTACATGATTGTGAATGGGAGGGAAGGTGGACCACACTCACTGTAAGAGGAAGTATCCATGACTTCTATTAAAATGTTGTTCATGGTATAAAAAAAATTGGAGAGTATGAAATTATTATTAATGTATGTCCTTCAGTCTGCCAACAACATGAGTCTTATCGGCCTGTTTTTCATCTTCTCACACAAACATCTTCATACTGCCTTCCACAATGTTCCTTACATGTGTAACGCTCACCTTGAGTTAATCTGTAATGCTGATACCCGTTCCTTTAAATCTCCCCTCAAGACCACAGTGCTAATAAGAAATGATCCAATAGCTAGATTGAGTGGAATAAAGATGAGGTTAGTTGGCAATTTATCCACCTATAACCATAAGATTTGAGGGGTAAATACATATGTATGTATATGGAATATGCATAGGATTGTATCATTGTTCTGTGTCATTTATCTTCAGGATCAGGATTGTTTCTTCATAGACATTTGTACAGTACCTGGCACAATGGCGCCATGTCCCTGATTAGAACTTATCAGTACTCATATAAGAAAATATCAAGCAGTAATAAATGGCACATATTGTTACATTGTGTCATGTTATCTTAAGAGGAAGAGAAAAGGGGATCGTGGTTTTGGTACGGATATTTGTGCACAGTGAATGGTTCTCTCACTTGAGAATTAAGACTTTGTATTCTGGGCAGTAAAATAAGAAAGCACATCTCTGTTTATCTAAAATCCCCTGCTCATTCTCCTACCACAGAGTACTACTGGATGTGTCTCCTTGGCAACAGCTGTTCTAGGGAAATGGTGGAGGATTACATAATGGTGTTGACAGTCTGGGGAAATTAAAGATCTGTGGCTTTCTTTTTTCAGAGGAAGGGTGCAAGAACCACATGTACAAAATCACATTATTTTCAATAGTGCATTAAAACTTAAAGTAACATGAATATATCCCAAAACCAACTAAAATGTGTGAATTTGTGGAGGGAGAGGACGGAAGAGACTCTGGCCACAGTGCAGTCTTCCTGTATTGCCTGAGAATGTTAGGAGCACACTCCAGTTCTTTCACTGCAGAATTGGAGACTTTAGAAAGAATTGGCAAGTGCAGCTGGCATACTCTTTGGGCTTGTCTACACTAACCGGGGGATTGACGAGCGGCGATCGATGCATCAGCGGTCGATTTAGCGGGTCTAGTGAAGACCCGTGGCTAAATCAACCACAGATCGCTCTCCCGTCGAGTCCTGTACTCCACCAGATTGAGAAGAGTAGGGGGAGTCGATGGGAGAGCATCTCCCGTCGACATCGCATAGTGTGGACCCCGCAATAAGTAGGTCTAAGCTACGTCGATTTGAGTTACGCTAGTCACGTAACTCAAATTGTGTTGCTTAGATCGAATTTCCCCTGTAGTGAAGACAAGGCCTTTGTTTCCTTTGGTGATTTGCATTCAGAGTATAATGTCCAAATATCACAGAATAATATGGTCTCTATATTCATATAATATTTTTCATATTTTGAGCACACAACTTTTTACACTTGCAACTCTGAGAACCGTGTGTAGAATAAACACAGTAGTGTGCACAAATCAAGTAGTTAGAAATACTGTTAGATGTGCATATGTAAATCAGACCCTGTGCATGTGAAAAATGCACATGATAACTTGCTCATGTGTAACTGTGGCTGCTGTATTGAGCTTCCTTTGAGAATTTGGACCCAGATGACCGGACTCCTCCCCTCTCACTGCCCAGAGCTCTCCTTGGTCCCAGCTGGGAGGCAGCCCCACTCCATCCTGGGAGGATCCCCTAGGTAGGATCCTGCATTCCCCCAGTCCCACTCCTCCCCTGCAGGATCCTGCAGCCACCTGCTTTTCTTCTCCTAATCCCATGGTATTCTCCATAGCTGTCCCCCATCTCCAGTTTTCAGTGGGAGGGCTTCCCCAGAGCGCTTATCTTCATAAACTCATTCTTCCTGCACTAAAAGAACAGTTCCTGCACTGTGGGGGATGTTAAGCCATTACTGCCAAACTTGGAATAGGGGCCAGCCCAGTTGTGCCCCAGCTTCCCTATGGCTGCTGTCTGTAACACAAGCAGCATAATGGCCTCTAGTAGCCAAAGGGGGAAGCTGCACGTGTCTCAGGCAAAATTCCAGAGCTGCCTGTGTCTTCTCACCAAAACCAGCCCCAAACTGCAGCACCTGCAATATTACAGGCATTGGCAACACTGCACCAGGCAGTCTCCTGAAGGAGAGGGAAGCTGCGGAGAATTACAAGTGAGAAAAAGTAATATGGAAGTATTATAGTTATTTCACAGAGGGATAACCTGGAACACAGAGAAAGTGTGTGACTTCTCCAGGGCCTGACAGCGAGTAAGTGGCAGAACCAGGAATAAAACCCAAGAGTCCTGACTCCTACTCCTTTTACTCTGACATATCATATGCCCCCCCTTGGCTCTATAAGTGAGCCCTTTTGTACTTCTTGGTAAAAATTGATGTGAAATATCCACTGTAAGAAATAGGAACATTACTTCCACTTCAGTGTATAGTGCTCATTTAAGAATGGTTTCATGCTTCTGAATAATGAATATATCTGAATATTTCATGTTAGGGAAAAGGCTAAAGTTGATCGAAGAATTCAGGTAATTGAGAACAGAAAAATGGCTCATTATAAGCCTTAGAAAAGTACTCCTATAACAAACAAAACTAAAGTTCATTTGACATCACTCTTAATTAGAAAGAATAATATTGTTTCAGAATTTGCCTTGGCTAGGTAATAGGAATGGCTTTAATTGTTGTCATCCATTTTTTTCCCCCTGTTGCAGCTCCCAGACAGCTGTATAATGGATTACTATGAAAAATACAAGCATAGAATGAATGAGCTGGAAGCGTTTAATATGGTAAAAACAAAGGATTAAAAACATTACCTTGTATATATGTGCTAGTCTAGAATAGAGCCGTGTCGAATTTTATGTGGTGGACCGTCTTATATTGTGATATACTGTCTTACTTCGAGGATATCCTATTCCAGAGCTATATTGGGTGTCAGTAAAATAATAACGAGAACACATGGAAGGTTCTTTTTCAAGGGGGATTATGAATGAGAAGAAAGAAATGTCAGACTCCTTTTGAAACTGGATTGGTCTCCATGAAGTTATTTCACAAAAAATTATTCTAAAAAATTATTCCCCTATTCAAAAGCTTTCTGCCACTTATAGTATGATTTGCATATTAGATTATGCCTCAGAGCCAGCCAGATAAAATACTTTCCCTGCTCATAACATTCCATGGACTTTTGATCTTTACTAGATTTTTCTGAAAATGTCAGAGAGGGAAGAACTGGCAAGGTGGCACTTGTAAAGGTTTTGCTCAAGAAAATGATTCACCTTCCTAGAAGTGTTTCTGGGGGACAGAGTTGTCTTTTTAGTAGTATGTTGGTTTACTTTCCTAAAGCCATGATCGTGTCTAACCTGTCTTTCAGTTGAAAGTTGTTCTGGCTCCCTGTATAGAAGTTTTATTACTTCTGGATCGTCTTTGCTACCTCAAAGAGAAGGTGTGTTTTCTTCATATTTTATGTTACCTGAAGTCTGTTTATTTTAACCAAATTATTTACTGAGTACCAAAGAGTCCCTGTTGTAGACTTACTATTCTCATCATTGTTGCAAAAATTTAACTATTAATTCCATCTTTGTCTAAACATATGCCCAGCAGATGTTTTTTTATTATTATTTTAAGCAAAGCTGCAACAGTAAAGTTTATGTTCTTTTAATTGTATGGTAATTACTAGTCAGTAGACGGTAAAAAAAAAAATTTAAACCCTTACAAATCTTATTCCATACCAAGTATTGGTATATTAATCATTGAAAGTAATGCTGGAAGTACCAAACAAACG